GTGCCGGGCCTGCCCCTCCTGAGGACCACCAGCAGGGCGGGCAGCCCGGCTGCGGTGGCTGCGTGTTTGTGTGATGATGTGGTGGTGGGGGGTGGGGGCACCATGTCCCACGCTTCCTCGCTCCGCCCCTGCAGGCTCTGGACCGCACGATGAGCGTTGTGGCTGTGACGGCTGTGATTGGCAGCGAGGGCACCACCAACATCACAGGCTTCCAAGTGGCAGGCATCGTGAGTTCCGCGCCGCCGGCCGCATGCCATGGCCTGCCTGCAGGGCCCTGCCCCTGCCACCTCTGGATCTGCAAGCTTTCAAGACCTGTGCATGTCACATGCCGGCCTGGCCTGCTGGCTGCACGCGGCCAGCTGGCAGGCTTGTTGCCTTGCCTTGCCTTGCCTCGACCCTCTTGGTCCTGCCCCGGCCTGCCTTCCTGCCTTTGGGCTGCAGATCCTGCTGGTGATTGCCGTCTGGCTGGCCCTCTGGCTGCTGCGCCCCCACTCCCTATCCCCCCACTTTGAGCACCGCCGCCTGCGCCTGCACGGCCAGCTCAGCATGCTGTTCAAGCAGCGCCACCACTGGATGCTGGCCGTCACCACCACCACCCTGGACACCGCAAGCGTGGGCTACTGCTTGTCCATTGTCTGGGACGTTGATGTGAGTGTGTGTGTCTGGAGGCAGGGAGTTTGTGGGGAGCCGCAGAATGGGCTGGGCCCGACAGCGTCTCACCCAGTGCCCTTGCTGGCACGCATCTGCTGTGGCTGATCTGCCGCTCGCTGGCCCCCCGCATCCCGTCTTGCTGAGTGGCTTGGCTGGCCGGCTGGCCGGCTGCCCTGCCCGCCCTGCCCCCTGCAGCAAGGGGACGCGCAGTGGTTTGCGCTGGCCAATGCGCTCACCAGCATGGTGGCCATCGGAGCCCTGGGCGCCTTCCTCACAACGAAGCCCGGGCGCCGCTTGGGCCTCAAGCTGATGTGGGCAATCGCCGCCACGCCCTGCGTGACGCTGGCACAGGTGCGCCGCGCATGAGGGAGCGCTGCCCAAGGGGGCTGGCTGCTGGAAGTGAGCGGGAGGGCGGGAGGCACTGCGGGCCTGCCCCTGGCCAGAACAAGTCGTGTCCAGCGACCGCCCCGCCCCCTGCGCCGCCTCTACCCCTGCTGCAGGTTGCGCTGATCAAGTATGGCGGCTCCGCAGCCACCTGGGTGGCGGCCACCGTGGTTGCTGCGCTGCACGTCAGGACCAACATGGTGGGCCTGCTGAACCTGCACACGGTGCCCAGCCGCGAAATCTTCACAATCATCCGCACCATGCAGGCAAGCGGGCAGCCACCTGCGCTGCCGCCCTCATTGCCCGGCCCTGTGCCTGGTCGCAACTCTCGCTGCTGACTCCGTGCCCTGCCCCTGCCTCCAAACTGCTCCAAACTGCTCCAAACTGCAGGTGTTCCTTGGATCCCTCGCCCTTCGTGCTGGGCCTGGCGGCCGGCAGTAACACCGACCAGTCGGTGGAGGTGTGGGTTGTGACGGGGACATACGAGGCGCTGCGTGTGCTGCTGGTAGCCGGCATGGTGGCCCTCCACCGGCGGGAGAACATCGCCAAGCCCTGAGGAGGGGATAATCGTAGTGCAGTACGTGTCAAAGATCCAATCAATCCTGTACCGATTTATTTCAGCAGCCTGCTGTGACATTTCCTTGCGATTGTTTGCTTTGCGTTGCCCACCTCTTTTGCTAAGCGCCCCCAATTAATTTGCGGTCCCTCTTTGAGCCCCCAGATGTAGCTGTGCATGGGCCCATTGTCCTCGAAATCCCACAGTGTGGCTGTACTGCCACTGTACTGCTTCATGTTAGTGACCCTTGGCGTCTCTGTAATGTCAGGCAATGAAGGCAGTGGAGACCAGCAGATTCTCAAGGTTCAGCTAATCCTGAGGTTTAGCTGTGTCCCTTGGACAGAACACCTGTTCCAGTCTCCATTGGTTGCTCCACAGGAGATGTCTGCACCCACTCCCCCGCCCCTGACGGTGCGAGTGTGGCCTCACACGCAGTGCACCTGGCTGTTGGGGCTGGCAGCCTCGGGCGCGCTGGCCCTGGCAGCCCCGCAGCAGGCTGCGCTCCCATTGCTGCCAAGCCCGGCAGCATCGATCGGGGCACGGCTGGCGCTGGGGGCACCCCTGCTGGCGGCATCCCTGTACTGCAATATTGCCACCCGGGAGCTGGAGAAGGCGGGAGGTGAGTGGGGCCTGCACTGCATGCAGTGCGTGAATGGGCACTGCGCAGCCGAGAGCAGTGTCGGCACTCCGCCCACCCAGGCACCTCCCGTTTTGGCAAGCCATTCCCAAGCTCGACATCCGGCCCCTACAGGCGCACCAGGAACCCCAGTTACGTGAGTGATCATGCTGGGTGTCGCATGAAGACCAGCAGGCACCGAGTTGGGTAACGACCAAAGTGCGTACGCCCCGCCACCGACCCTGTGCAGCTGGCGGCCATGTGTGTGTGTGCGCCGCGTGGGCGGTGCTGCTCAACTCCAGGTGGCCGCTGGTGATGCTGGTGCCTTGGCTGGCGCATGTGCAGCTGGCGATGGTGCCCAAGGAGGAGGAGGTGCTGGCGGCGCTGTTTCCAGAGGAGCGGGAGCAGTACAGGCGGGATGTGCCGCGCTGGATCCCGCGCCTCTGGTGAACCCGGCCGGCTACAGCGGGCACGCGCTGCCGGGAGGGCGGCACGCCCGCTCCGCCTTTCCTGATTGCTCGCTACGCAGGTGCGTTGAATAGGTAGCCGTACAGGGGTTGATGGTAGCAGTGTTTGAAGGTGGAACAGTGCAAAGCGAGAACAGGGAAGCATACAAGAGGCAGAGGGCAGCAAGAACAAAACAAGAGGGTCACAGGAAGAGAAAGCAAACAGGCAGGGGCAGCGTGGCTCAACGCAGGCATGCCTCCCCACCGGCGCTACTGCGCCAGACCCACACCCCACCGCCGGTTGACCGCCGCAAAGAGCGCCACCAGGTTGTGGTCAAACAGCTCGCTCTTGACGACCTGCACCATGAGGGGCAGCAGAAATGGGTGGGTGTAACCGCATCGGTGGCGGGGCGCCATGCGCCAAGTAATGCTGACGCCAGACACCTGTCTGTCCGACCCACCTGGTCCATCTCGTGGAAAGGGTTCTTCAGCACATAGTCGCAGTACAGCTCATACACCCTGCAGTACAGCAGCGGCGGCACAAGGGGTCGGCAGGCGGTTTGCCAGCATCAATGGCGACGGCAGCCTTGCCATGCATTCAGCCCTAAGCCCCTGTAAGGCCGCCCTGGCAGCGCTGGTGCCATAGGGTGTCGAACAGGCAGGCGGCTGCCAGGTCCTGGGCCCGCCCTTCCCCTCACGTCGTGCGCAGCAGCTCCGCGGCGTCTGGCGTGTGCGGCTCAGTCAGCAGCATGAAGGTGGTGCCGGTCAGGGTGTGGAAGCTGTGCAAGTCAAACGTGTCGGCTTGCATCAGCTGCACCAGGGCGGCAGCGAGGGGTGGCGGCAGATGTTGGTGAGCAGCCCATGGGCAGCGTGCTGTCTGGGCAAAGGGCTGGCCGCTTGGTCGCCTGCCACAGCCTTGCTTGCACACGCACCTGGATGCCGCTGCTGTCTGGCATCGGCGACAGCTGCGCCGAGATGCCGCACATGCCAAACCTGTGGGCCGGGGAGGGCAGCGATAGTATGGGCGGGGCCAGGCCTCGTGTGAAACACACGACAAGAGTGTGGCGGCACCCGTCGGGCGGCGGGTGGCGGCAGGCGTTGCTCACCAGCTGCTGGCTAACCGCAGCTTGTCGTTGAACTCTATGGGCGGCAGTTGCCAGAAGTCCTGCACAATGCGGGAGGGCCAGGAGTGAGTAGAAGCGGGAGAGAGGCACCGACTGATCGTGCTCACCCTGCTGTACAGCAGCCCTCCGTTTCGTCCCACAATCCACAGCGAGTACATGGCGGGCATTGCTCCTGCGTCTGGCTGTGCCTCGTGCGGCTTGCTTGCCAGCGCTGTCCCTATCGGCGTATATGCCCCGCAAACGCGACCTCGGGTGGAAGGCAAGCAGATGACACTGCTGGGGCGGCCACAGGAACGGCCCCTTCTATCCACTCGCCATGCTGTGTGCTTTGCCCAGTCAGCCTCCCGCAAAACGTGACGTGGGGACATGCTCGCCTTACTGGCCACCGCATCGCCGCATAGTGCTTGTCTTCCATATCAAGGGCAAATCGGGTCCCCCACCACGAGTCCCCAGCTTCACATTGCACGGCCAGCATGCAGCTAGTTTTTGGGCTGGGAGACCCGGGTGGGTGCTTGGAGCTGTAGTGCATGATGTCAGGACGACTTGCTCGGCGCAAGGCATTTTCACCGCTGCCCGCCTGCTGCTGCCGCCGTTCACGGGTGCCGTTCACGTGGTGACGCCCAGCCTGCACACCTCCCTCTCTCTGAGCCTCCCCTGCTCCACCCTGCAGTGCTAGATATCGTGGCTCGCGTGGACCACTCGCTGCTGGAGCGACTGGGCATGGAGCCGGGCGGCTGCGTGCCGGTGTCAGCCGAGGAGATGGGACGCCTGCTGGCGCTGCCAGAGGTGCACGGAGGCATGAAGAGGTGAGGTGGCCGTTTGTTTGAGGGACACTGCATGCATATGGGCTACCCACACACCCCACAGCCCCGCCCATGCCACGCCTGCCCGTGCGCAGGGTCCCCGGCGGCAGCGCGGCCAATGTTCTCAAGGGCCTGGCCAGCCTGGCCCCCGCCAGCCTGTCGGTGGCGTTTGTGGGCATGGTGGGGCAGGACGAGGCGGGGTGGGAGTACCGGCAGAGCATCACCGCCCACGGCGTGCGCCCGCTGCTGCTGGAGTCGGGCACCGGCGCCGCCACCGCCGCCTGCCTGTGCCTGGTCACACCTGACGGCCAGCGCACGATGCGCACAGCGCTGTGCGCCGCGCTGGAGCTCAGCAGCCCGCAGCAGCTGCCGCGGGAGCTGGCACCGCCGCCGCCGACAGACGGCGGCGCCGGCGCCGGCGCCGGCGCCAGCGGGCAGCCGCCCATTGCGCTGCTGCACTGCGAGGGGTACTGCCTGTACCGCGTGGCCATGGCGGCGGCCGCCATGCGAGCAGCCCGCGCCCGAGGCGCCCGCGTCTCTCTGGACCTCGCTTCCTTCGAGGTGGGTGGGGGTGGGTGGTGGGTGGGTGGGCGGCCGACGGCTCGGCGCTTCGCTGCTCGCCGCCCACCCCCTTCCTCTCCGGTGTCGTTCAACGCCACCTCTACCCAGCAGATTGCTTGCCGATGGTTCTGATCCAGCAGGTGGTGGCCAACTGCTGGACACAGCTGGGCAGCCTGCTGCAGGTGTGTGTGCGTGTGTGTGTGTTTGCTGGTGGTGAGTGTGTGTGTGGGGGGGGGCGCTGGTGCATCTCTGTTTGTTGCTTTTGAAGCCTGGTTGTTGTGGCAACTGCGGCAGCGCCCCCTGCCCATTTTCGCCTGCGTCGAGGCTCGGCTCGCTGCTGGGCTGTGCGCCAGCAGGGCCGGGCCGCCCCACAGCGGCCCGCCCCATCCCGCACATGGGATGTGCGCCACGCCACGCTCCAATGCCGCAACTCCCTGCCGCCCCTCCCTCCCATGCCGCTGCCTGTGCAGGAGCGGCTGGTCGACATCATCTTCTGCAACGAACAGGAGGCGGCGGCACTGTGCCAGGTAGGCGGCGCCGCGCTGTCGTGGGCTGGCAGGCTGGCTGGGCTGCCGCGCATTTGTTCCTGCGCTCTGCTCACGCCTTCCCTGGGAGGGCCGCCCTGTTCCCCCCCCCCCGCCTCCCTCCCCCACAGGCTGCCGGCGTGCAGCTGCCGCCAGCAGCAGGCGGCGAGCAGGTGGTGGCAGCTGCCCATGCCTATCTGCTGGAGCGAGGCGTGGGCACCATTGCGATCAGCCGTGGCAGCAAGGGCTGCAGCGCCAAGTCAGGTGTGCCAGCTTGCGGGAGCAGAGCGGGGGTCGCCAGCTGCCCAGACACAGAATGTGTCGCTGGCGGGACGCATGCTGCCGCAACGCCTGCAACGCGTGCTGCCGCCCGTGTGCGCCTGACGTCGCTGCCCCCCTCCACTGCGCACGGTGCAGCGGACGGCAGCACAGCGACCGCCGCCGCCTGCCGCGTGGCGGTCGTGGACACCGTGGGAGCGGGTGACTACTTCACCAGCGGCGTCCTGCTGGGGCTGCTGAGCGGCGCCAGCCTGCAGGTACGCCGCTCGCTGGCCCCCTCCCCGCCGGCCAGGCGCTGCTGCTGCGCCGCTGCTGCGTCTTAAGGCCCAATGCCACACAGCCTCCGCCGGCACTGCCTGCTCAGGCCCTGTGCCGTGCGCTCTGCGCCTGCCGCAGGCAAGCGCTGCATGCGGCTGCACCGCGGGGACGGCGGCGGTGAGGACGGCGGGCGCGGAGCTGGGGCCGGAGGCCCTGCAGCAGCTGCGTGCAGCCGTCGCCGCCATCCTGGCGGCAGACAAGGCGGCAGCGCTGGAAGCGCAGGGAGCAGCCGTGCCGGCGGTGCCCTTGGCTGTGCACTGAGCGCGCTTTGAGTGCCTGCTGGAAGCGGGCAGCCATTGCTGAGGGTACATTGTATCCCAGTCGACATGCTGGCCGGAGCGCGCTGCATTGGAGCTGCCGCTCCGGGGACAGCGCGCTCGGCCTGCCACTGCTTCGCTGTTGTTGCTGCTGCTGCCGCCACCTGGCGGCTCCTATCTGAACGCACCATTCCAACCCTGTTGCACAATAGCATCTTTCCTTTAAACACCGCCTGAGAGAGCTGTTTCCCGCTTGAAAAAAATGCTGGGTAATAAGTGGAGCCGTTGAGGCGGTCGGGAGGCCGCCTTGCTCACTCTGGCACCTGGGAGTGGCTCAAAATGCTCGGCTAATTGTGCCTGAGATTCAGGAGGAGCAGCAACGAAGAATTGGCATGATGGCATTCCCACTAAGGCGTTGCTTCTGTGCGGCCTGCCCAGAAGTGCCACAGGGCCTCCCTGCGTGCAGTGCTCAGGCGGCAGCAGGCGGCCCCCTGCTGTGCCCGCTGTGGGACAACAACTGAGTCCTGCACATTCACTAACTACTTCATTCTACTCACAACTGCATAATTGATTCTACTCATCATGCCTTGATCAATCCTGGGTCAAAGACTGCCTCGCTGGCAGCACTACAGCACCAGTGGTGCAAACTGCGGGTCATTCCGTGCCTTTCTCTCTTCATTGTAACTGACTTGACTTGACTGGCCGCAGCCGGTCCGGCTGCTACTTGACTTCTAAGCAGATAGTACTATCTGGACTCACTGTCTGCTCTTACACTGCGTCCGCACTCAGCAAGCGAGCTTGATAGCTGGGTGGGCCACAGGAACGAGGGTCGTCCTCTCAATGGGACACGGGGATCGAGGGTAGTACTGCGTCGCCAGCTGGACGTAAAGTCAGGGTAGTACTGCGTCGCCATCTGGCCATGAGGACTGCTGATTCGAGAATGGTCTGACAAGCATCGGCACCCTTCTTGCATTTTATTCCAACACTGTGTGGCTGTGCCGATGGGGCCCGTGCTGAACCCGTAGCGACGATTCTCAGGGGAACAGCCTGAGACCAGACATACCAGCCGCGGCTGGTCGGAGCGCCCAAGAAGCGCACCGATTGCTGGTGAACGCGCCAGCACTAGAGGCCGGAAAGAGCGTGGGGGTGTCAGGTTGGCACAACGCTTTGGCTGGCTTCTGGGAGAGTCGATGCCCAGGGCAATGCTTGCTTGAGAGGGCAATTTAGAGCCCTCTGCGCAGTGAAATCCTCCCCTGTGTCCGACTGCATCTATCTAGCTGTTGTAGTCAGCGGAGGGTCTGATCGGCGCGCACAACGCAACCAAGTTCTTGCCGCCGCCAGCGGCGCGTTCCATTGGTGCGCACAACGCAACCAAGTCCTTGCCGCCGCCAGCGGCAACAGACACTCCCTAGTGCGTGCAACTTGTGCTCAGAGCCCAACACACGCCCACTGCCATGCAGGGCGCCCTCGAGGAAGGCACGTCACAAGCGCAGGCCACATGGGTCTGCTGCAGCGCCCGCCACCGACCCTGGCGCTGCTGCTCCTGGCGGCGCTTCTGGCCGCGGCGCTGGCGCAGCCGGTGCATGCGTTCAGCAATGTGCCTTGGCAGAAACAAGCAGTCTACCAGTTGCTGACAGACAGGTTCGCTGCGCCACAGGCAATGCCAGGCAGCCGCGGCCAGCAGTGCGGCAGCCTGAGCAACTACTGCGGCGGCACGTGGAGGGGCATGCTGCAGCAGCTGCGCTACATACAGGGCCTCAACCTGAACGCCATCTGGAGCTCCCCCATCGCGGTGCAGCCCTATGGCGGCTACCACGGGTGAGCCTGGTGTGTGGTGGGGATGGGGGCGGGGATGGAGCAGGGTGGTTGGCGTGGGGGTGGTGGTGGGCCGCCTGCGGCTGCCGAGGAGCTTGGGTGACGTGTCGGGCTGGGGAGCCACCGGTGCCTTGCCATGATCAACGTCCGGCCAGGATGTCCCCACTGTCTCTCTCTCACACACATGCGCCCACCCACACTCCGCCTGCTGCTGCTACACGTGCTCCACCCCCTGGTTGTCACCCTCCCCCCCCGCAGCTACTGGCCCACCGACCTGTACGATGTGAACCCCTCCTTTGGCACCCCCGGCGACCTGCAGCACGTGCTGCAGCAGCTGGCGGACCAGGGGATGAAGCACATTCTGGATGTGGTGATGAACCACGTGGGCTACGGCTCCTCCGTCTTCCTCCCCGCATTCAACCCCTTCTCAGACCCATCCAATTTCCACAACTGCACGCTGGCGGGTGGGCGGGGGCCTCCCAGGCAGGGGACAGGGTGGGGCAGGGCAGGGTAGAGCCTGGGCAGGGCAGGGCCTGGGCAGGCTAGGAAGGAGGCGCAGGCCCAGGTGGGCGAGCAGATCAGCAGGCTGGGGCAGGCACCCCGCCAGGCTGGCGAGCACAACGGTCGCCCGCTGCATGCCCGCCACGAGCCACACTCGCTGCCGCCTGGCCCCCCACCCGTGCCGCCGCATGCGCAGGCTGCGACCCCGACTGCAACATCCCGGCTGACAACCCCACCTACGACCAGCAGTGGCACTGCCAGCTCAGCGGCCTGCCCGACCTCAACCAGTCGATTCCGTATGTGCGGGAGATGTTTGCCGACTACATCCAGTGGATACTGTCGCAGTACAGGTGAGTTCCCTCCATTGTTTATACAGTGGCACGTAATTAGAGGGGGAGGGACCAGTGGTGTGGTTTGGGAGAGGCCTGCAGCAGCTGCAGGTCCCCAGAAGAAAGGCGGGTGCTAAGGGACGCACAGGGTGGCTGGCGCAACTGGCCAGCTGCAGCGTTGCACTGCACCAGCAGCGTCTTTGCGCTTCAACCACCTGGCCCCTCCCCCGCATGCCGCAGCGTGCACATGCTGCGTCTGGACGCCGCCGGCAGCATCGACCCCGACTTCTTCCCGTACTTCATGAACTTTACGACCCTCCCCGCCTGGCTGGAAGTGGGCGGCAAACTACAGCTGCACGAGCAGTACGAAAAAGGTGTGTGGGGGTGAGTGTTAAAGGCGAGGGGAAGCGGAGGACATGCCCGGGACGAGGTTGGGGAGGCAGGGCATGAGGGGCTGGCAGGGCGCAGCGCGGCGCAGTGCAGTGCAGTGGCCATGAAAACAGGGCCCGCTGAGGCCCGCCCGCCCGTGCGCACGCCGCTGTCGCAGTGCGCGGCAACGCCTCCTACAGCTACCAGTCCTGGGTCATCTACAACGCCGCCAGCGCCTGCTTCGCGCTCTCCCCGACCTCGGATGAGGGGGATGAGGGGTGCCTGCAGGTGAGGCGGGGCTGGGTGGCTGGGCTGGGTGGCTGGGCGGGGCACGCCCGTGCGGGGGAGGCTGCCCGGCTGGCTGCCGAGGGAAACTGCTGGGCTGCGGGGGGGCATGCCTCCTGGGGCCCCCCGGCCGCCACCGCCGCCACCGCCCAACCATGCACCCGCCATGCGCCTGCGCACACACCCACGTCCGGCCGGACTGCCCCGCGGCGCCGCAGATCTCTCAGTCCCGCTCCACACTGATGAGCTACGGCGTGGAGATGGGGGGGGTGGGGTACTGGGTGGAGAACCACGACACCGACCGCTTCCTGTCCACCCGCGCCAGCCTGCCCGCCTACCGCAACGCTCTGGCGTTCATATTGCTGGCAGAGGGCATACCCATCATGTGAGGCAGGAGGCAGGCGGGCGGGGGAGGGGAGGTGGAGCCGGCCTTGCGGCCGCCGCCAGTGGGGAGCGGCACCGCATCTGCCGGCTGGGGCGGGCGTGGCTGGGGTGGGCGACCCAGGCTGGCCGCCTTCCTGCGGCAGGTCCTGCGTGCTTCCAGCAGCGAACACTGCATCCAGTCCACTCCAGTCCGCTCCTCCCCATGCGCCCATGCCCTCCCACCCACCCTCCCACCACTTCCCCTGCCGCCGCTGGCCCCGCCTGCCACCGCCCGCAGCTACTATGGCGCGGAGCAGGGCATGACTGGGTTAACAATCGACAACACCAATCGCTGGCCGCTGTGGGAGGTGGGGTACGACAACACCAACCCGCTGTACACGCACATCCGCACCCTGGCGTGGTACCGCTGGTGGATGAACCTGGGCAACAAGTCGTTCACAGGTGGGCAGGGGGCGGCTGCTTGGTGGCTGGGTGCCACGGCAGGGCTGGCACGGTGCTGGGACGCCTGTCGGACGCGTTGAGGACGCTTGATGGGGGCGCTTTGCGTGCGGCAGTGGGCTAGCGAACAGCCACCAACTGCCTGCTGCTGTGCCTGCCTGCCAGCCGGAGCCCCAGCGGGACACGGCTGGGCAGCGGGGGTGCCACACAGCCCAATGCCTGGATCATGCCACCCCCACTCAACCCCACCTGCCCACCACCAACAACATCCCCCCCGCACAAACGGCCAACACCCGTCCTGCCCCCGCCCCGCCTGCGCGCCTGCAGAGCACTACATGGACCGCCGCACCTACACCTTCTCGCGTGGCAGCGACATGGTGGTGGTGCTGACCAACGGCAACTACTCGGAGGCGGTGCCCCGCCCTGCCGCCTACAACCTGTCGGGCCTGGCCAGCTTTGCAGGGGACACGCTGTGCGACGCGCTGCGCAGCGGGGTGAGCGAGCGCCCGCACTGGGCGCGCCGTGCCACGCCGTGGTGCCTGCCGTGCCGTGTGCTGACCTGGCGGCAGGCCGTGCAGCCGCGCTCACTGCCCCGGTCCGGCTCTTGCGCCGGCCCCCTTGCTGCGTGGGGTGTCGCTCCGCCATGTGCCTGCCTGTCCCACTCCCGCTGCGCTGCTGTGTCTCCTGTGCCGCAGTACTGCGTGGAGGTGTCGGAGGAAGGTGTGGCGCTGGTGCAGCCCTCCCCCACTGACGAGCCCCTGCTGCTGGTGCACAACAACTGGGTCCACTCCGACACTTTCTTCATCATGCTGCACAACCGGCCGGTGCGTACCTTGTCGCACGGCTGCGCTGGGCGTGCTGGGCGTGCTGTGCATGCCGCAGCGATGCACGGATTCACCTCTCTGACGCGTCACCGCCGCATGCGTCACCGCCGCATGCTTGCCGCTCGTGCACGCTGGTGCTGATGCCTCCCCGTGCTGGCTCCGCCTGCCTGGCGTGCCTGCCACTGCTGCAGGTGCTGTGGCAGCAGGGCCTGATCGTCACCTTCAGCACCCTCTGCGGCGCCCTGCTGCTCTGGTTTGCCGTGGGGTACGGCATACAGTACTACCGCACAGGCAGCATCCATCCGGCCCAGGACCTCTCCGCCTCCTGCGCCTCGCTGGCAGCCGCCTGGCGGCGCTGCTGGCGGCGCTGCTGCCGCTGGTCCGAGGCGCGTGGCAGCGGGCATGGCAGCGTGGCGGGCGACAGCGTGCACTCTGGCAAGAGCGTGGGTAAGGCCACAGAGGCCGATTCGGAGGATTTGGCCAGGAGGGAGTCTGCTCTGGTGACAGCCTTTAACATGATGCAAGGTGGGGGCTGCTGTGGCGGGCTGGGTGGAAAGCGGCTCCACTCTGCGTTCTGTGGAGGGGCGGATGGGTGCCGGCTGCACCGGGGTGGCGCCGCTGCCGCGTCGGCCGGTGGCGACCCAACGCCTGTTGTGGTGCTGCTGCCGCCGCCGCTGTTGCAGTGTCGCCTTCTCAGAGCAGCCAGAGCCACACGCAGCTGGGCGGCGCCGCCGCCGGCCGGCCGCATCACTTGGACGCGCTTGATGAGGAGGAGTTGATGCTTCCCACCCAGCTGTCCACCCACCGCGCCCTGAAGCTGGACTCGCTCGTCAGCCGCCGCCCCTGCTCCATGCTGCACGCCCTGGTGGACTGCCTCAAGGTGAGCGCCGCCCGTGCCAGCGCCTCGCAGCGAGGCGCTGATGGGGGGGGGGGGCAGCCAGCCGGCCCCGCCTCGCCTCAGCTC